AGTATGGCCATTTTTACGCTTAGGTGAACGCGATGCCTCCTTCAATTACTGGCCTTGTTTTATTTATACTTTTTGCTTACATATACAGACATATGTATATATGGACATAAAGCTACAACTACAATATGTAGCTAACAAACAAATAGACAGACAGACAGACTAACAGCAAATTATAGGTTTAAGTTCTGTTTATAAATAAGCTTACCTTTAACTTTAAACTCTGTGTTTAGCAACGTCGCTGTTCTCTAACTCGAATTCTCTCGCCTTGTAATCTGAATATTTAGGGACGGGTGTTTCTGGAAAGAAAACTGTTGGTATTTAGAAGTTCCGTGTAGCAAACTGACCGAGGTAGTCAAGGATGAGTAACAGAAATGGAAACACAACGCCAAAGCATGACTGAAAGTACTTTAAATTATTCCTTTCGACTTGGATCAGGAACAACATACACGATATGTGTTTGTAGAGCAATGAACTGACTGGAAAGGGTCAAGAAAGCAGATACATCTCTCGGAAGTGAAAATAATAAGAAATGTTAATCGTGAAGGATATAGAAAGGTTTCTCTCTCTCTCTCGGACACAGTAGAATTGTAAAATGTTATTGCAGCATTGAATTGAAATTGATGCTCTAAATGTTGTAACTCAACCCTAACTGTATATTGGGTAGTGATTGCCTGACCATCATCGTTTTATTTTATGTTTATTTGAATGTGTTCTTGAGGCAATGTTTAGAAAAACCATAACCAAAGTTTGTTTAAGAGAGAGAGGAAAAAATAGTTCAAAATTCGCATGCGTGTCAGACAAAGGAAACAGGTCTTATCTATGCAATTGTGTGACTGAACTTCACAGTGGCTTAACAATAGAATTATCTGGTGGAGACATTTGACTAATTATCCATCTGACAGATTTTGGCATTATACAACTTCATCTTAAATAACGTTTTGTCTTGAAAATTTAAAAATGGAACTCACTGTTAACCTTTAAAAAATGTGTTTGTTTTTATTTGAAGTTAAACATAAAGCTACACAATTGGCTATCTGTGCTCTGCACACCCCGGGTATCG